TAAAGTAAGTGAGGACATTAAAGGGCCTGCTTAGAGGTGAGACTCACTTCCGTTTAGCATTAATATCGGCATTAAAACGCAAAAGAATGTTTTAGCCTGGTGTTTTTACCCTCACTCCAGGTTGCCTGTGAAGTAGGTACTTTTATATTTCAATACTTCATGGAATCAAATTGCATCACATTAATTTTTCATTAGTTTAAAACACATTGAATAAATGTTAAGTCTGGGCTGGTTTATGAATATTTAAAGCTTACCAAAAGAAAAAAAGGGGGAGGAAATGTAGGGAGAGTAAAAGATCTATTTACAAATGATGACAGAAACAAAACCCAGCCTTCTTAGAAAAATATGATTTGTTACCGACAATTCTGGTATTGTTACTTAAAAGGAAAGGGAGAAACTAACTGAGATACAGTTGTTTTCAATCACAATTCCTGAAAATCTTTCAATGTCTCCCTTGGAGCCTTAGGTAATTTTGAATTGCTGGGACGTGTTGGCGGATTGTCAATATAGATGACGGTTTTCCATATTCATATATTGCAAGTGGAACTTTAGGAGAGTACAATTAATCTCAGAATTCTCCAAGAATCGCTTTCAAAGCAGGTCTCTGGGTGTATATATACAGCACACACACTTGACGTGCGCCATGTGTTCCTGCGCGCTGCAAAACAGTGGTGAAACTGAATTTCACTATTGAATTTGAATTGAAATGAACCTATCCAAAGGATTCCGGTCTGCACTCTTTGAGGCATCTCTAAATAACCCTTTTAAAATTAGCACTATTAAAACAAACAAAAAAAGCAGTAAAGAAAAACAATCGCGACAACACACCATTAGCATCCGTTATCCCCGAGCACATAGCCCCATCATGTATTCCGCACTACCGGAGTATTTCCACACGGCGAGTGGCTGGCACATGGTACCCCAGCGAAGCAGCAGCCAAAGCTCCAGAGCTCGAAGCCCCCTCGAAGCAGAGGGCCTCAGCAGCAGCAGAAATGGGTGTTTTGACTCAGCTTTAAAAACCTGCTGTGGCAAGTGGCTGACGCTGTATGCTTTTTGCGCTTTGCGCCCCAAGAATTGAAGGCGAAGAGCGACCCTATCCAACTGAGTACGGTCCCTAGGCAAGCTCCAAGGTTATCATTATGACCCTACTGGTCCGGACCCCGTGTCCACTTTTCCTGTTGCCAGTCTGGGCCTGACACATTGCACAGGGCGGGGCTGGGCTTTCCAGGCGCCGCCTGCTGAAGGTACGGTACCACGTGCGCGCCTCGCGAACTCGGACTCAAGCAAGTCCAGCTCCAGCCACCTGATCTCACTGACCTGGGGTCTCGGCTTTAGGGCGGGGCCTCTTCCTCGCCTCCTGCCTGGACATCTGCTCCCACCCACCGTCCTCGCCAGTTCTAGAGGACAGCCCTAAGGCCTGAGTCAGTCCGGGTGGTTGCCCCTAGGACTTGCCCCGGAAGCCAAGCGACAGCCAAGTATGACCCAACATTCGCTAGCATCCCAAGATCTGGAAAGGGAGATCGCCGGGCCAGAACACAGAGTCTAGGCTTCTGGGTGGTGTTCCCTGGCCGAGTGGAGGAGCTCAAACTTGGCCCCTCTTGTCGGCCTCCCCCTCCCTCCCTTGACTATAGCCTCCTAGCTAGGGGGAAGCTCACAGCGTGCCCTGGCCAACCCCTTCTGCAGCTCTTTTCTTTTCCTGTCGCTCTGCTCGATTTCTGCTTTCTCTCTCCCACACACTGCTCGAGCACGCGAGGGCCTGGAGCAACCTCAGCACCAGCCCCTTTCCTGGGCCTCCAATCAGTCTCTCCCCTAGCCTCGTCTTTGCCATTCTGTTTTTCTCTAAAGATTCTCCTGGCATTTCCTAACCGGCTTAGCTAGCATGACTCTGACTCTACGTGCCCCCCCACCCCTTCTCTCTGTTTGGTGTAGCATTGAAAAATCACACAATATGTTGAGGTTGGTGTGTTGTTACTGCAACGTGGCTAGGAAAAAAAGCCTTATTCTGTCCTCGGAACATTTCCGGCCACTACGGTTTGGTTTCCCCTCCAGGGGATGCCAGCGCTGGTTTCATCTCACAGGCCTCTGCTGCGGAGCCCGCTGGCTTGCTCTTTCTGGCTGTGTACGCATGTGTTCAGTTGTGGATACACCGACCTATGGTTGCAAACAAGGCGGGCACTCGGAGTCGAAAGCTAACAGATTGCTAGTTTTTAGGCCAGGTGTATTCAGGGATCCCAACACCTCTTTGCGTCTAGACTCCACGCGTCCTGGTCCTTTACTCGGTATCTCTAGGGCCGCATCATCAATTCCGCGTCCTCCGAAGTGGTTTAGTTTGTCACCTGCTCCGCAGCGGGGAGCCGCTTCTGTGTTCAACGTTGCTGGCAGGGGGTTTGGAGAAGTTGAAAGCGCGCTGAGCGGTCTCAAGGAAACGTCAGGCCACAGCTGGCCGAGTGGGCAAAGGAACCGCGGGTAGGCCTGGGTACCGCAGAGGGGATTCTGAATTGCGATCCCAGCATCAGGACCGCAGGACCCCGGAGTTTGTGGCTTGCAACGGGCGCCCCCTCGGGAACGCAGCGCACGTTTGTTTCACGCTGGTCCGAGGCGCACATAGAACAACGCTGTGTCTGTCCCCGCGTCTGGTATTTTTCGGAGTCTGGCAAACCCGCCATTCAGTGATGTTTGGCCTAATCCTGGTTCCTAGCTAGATATAGGCAGGAACGAAATAGTGGTCGGTGTGTCTTCCCTTAATCCCAAAGCCCGCACAAAATCAAAATATACACACGAAACTCACCAAATCGTCGCACAAATACAAAACTAAAATCAACACAGGAAAACAAACTCCCATCCCCCATCCAAAAGCTCATTAAGAAAATCAAAATCGAAGAAAACAAAATAAATACATTTACCAATGCAGGACACACAAGGCACTAACTGAAGCAGAATCAGAGCATATCAAAGCTTTGCTCAGAAGGAAAAGCCTGGCGTAGGACACGGAAGGAGACAGTCTACAAGGTCAGAGTACAAAACCCACACAAAATCAAAACACGCAATACAGACAACAAACCCATCCCAGAGCTGAGCCTGCAAAATCAGTTCCACAAAGCGGGGCGAAAAAGCAAACTGCGAGAAACAAAAGATTCACAGATAATGGAAACTCTTAGGAAACAAACAACAAAACAAAACCCCCCAAATAGGAAGAAAAGAAAAGCCAACAACTCCAGCCTCAGCCCAGGGTGAACTGTCAATTCCGAAAGGGCTTTTGATCTCCAGGCGCAGGCAGGCCGCTCCTCCCTTGCGCTGCTTCCCAGCACCCGCAAGGCGGAAGGGCGGGAAGCGGGAGCAGAGGCCCGGACGTGGACGACAGTCTAAAGCTCCAGGACCGCCAAAAATCAAACCGCGGATAGAGACCCGGACCCACAGGCTGCAGGGAGGAGGTGGCACAGGGGACTGCGCAGACTACTTGGTGGGGGTGGGGGACGCCCGGGAACCCACAGCCACGTTTCCAATTGTGGCGAAATCTGCTCAGTGGATTTGCGATGTCCGGTGCCCACTGACCCCTCCCCCCATCCTCGAACTCTAGGCTCTCTCCCCTAGGTTGTAGCCCCCCCCCGTGGCCCCCCCCGCCCACCCCCCCCCCCAAAAAATCAAACACTCTCGGAGGACAATTCACTTCCCGAAACTGCCATTGTCCAGCGGTCCTAGAGAGCTCCCCCGCCCTGGAGAACCTTCCCCTGTGACCACCCCACAACGGGGCTCCGTAGGCTTCCAGTGGCCAAACCCAGCAGCTTGGACTTCAGACTAGGGAGGCAGCAGAGTAGGGGAGGCTTGAGCTTGGACCGCGGGGAACGAGGTTGGATGCACCACACCTTTGCTTAGTCCCTCTGCACCCGATTTTCCCTCTGGAATCAAGTCTGAGGAATCAGGGATGCCACAAAGTCTCCTGGCCCGAGGGCAATGGGATTCCATTTAGGGGCCTGGGTAAGGTGTCCAGAATTTTCGCCTGTTTCTGAGCCCACTAGGATGGTTCTGCTTGGCCCGGGTTCTCCAAAGCAAAGAACTGGGTTTTATCAGCAGCCTTTCTGCTGAACCTCTCTGGACTCTGGGGTAAAAGGGTCGCGCTCTAGAGGGGAGATCTGGGACCTAGTGGCTGAGTGGGACCTAGGTACTGTAGTGATCTGAAGCTGCCCTAGAAGAGCCCAGCAGACCTATGGAGGCTGCAATTGGGTTGGGGGATGGGGTAGTTGAGAATCCCGAAGGCGGGCGCCGCCCTAGGGGTGAATCCGAGGATGTTGGAACGTCCTCTGTGGCTGACAATTGTGCCAACACAGGGTTCAAAACCAGCTGCTTGGCAGAATTGTTCTTTCTTTAAAATAAAAAATTGGGCCTACTGGCGCTCAAAAAGCAGGGTTTACATGTAGAGCAAAGGCGAACAGGGCCGCAATCCCCAGACGCAGGTTTGGAAGCGGGTACGACCCTGTGACTCAAGTGCTCCTTCCCCTAGGCGCACGACTAAGGCTGGGTGCAGTCTGAATCCTTCCTTCCCTCCCCCAACCCCCTATAAAAGTCCAAGGCGGCACCGAGGCGGCATTGCTGCTTCCCGGGCCTCTCGCACACCTTCGGTCAGGCCCGGTCCGCCCCGTCTGGCACGCTGGGCAGGCCACAGAGCCGGCACCCTTTCCCTGGTTCTTGGCCCGCAGTGCGGGGCGGTGCGCCGGGGGCGCGACGTGTCTGGAGACATCTTGTGATGTTGGCGAGAACAGGACATGATCTCACATGGCGAGAAGCTCTTTAGTTCCTTAATCATTTCACGGTGCCTTCGGACGCTTTTTTTCCACCTAAAACGTTTAGTTTCAGCTCAGTGATCAGCTACCCCAGCTCGGCGGGGGAGCGGAAGGCTTCAATTATTCCGACTTGTGAGCGGCCCCCGGCACCAAAAAAAAAAAAAAAAGAAAAAAGAAAAAAAGAAAAGAAAGGAAAGGAAAAGAAAAGAGAAGAAAAAGAGAGAAAAGAAAGAAAAAAGAAAGAAAAATAAAAACAAAGAAAGAAAAAAGGAAAGAAAAAAGAAAGTAAAGGGAAAAAAGGCACCCGAAAAAAAGTGGAAACTTTCTCCCCTGTTCATTTCTTCAAGCCCTGAAATACCAATATGGATTTAGAGAAAAATTACCCGACTCCTCGGACCATCAGGACAGGTAGGAACACTGCGAAACGGGACTCATCCATGCTAACTCTGGGACACTACTCAGTGGTAGTATCCATGCTAATAACCACACAAGGAGAAAGTGGTGTGTTGTGTGGAGTTTTCTCACAACAAGGCCTGTCCTTCTACAGTGCATTTGTACGGTTTTCACTAGTCCATCAAGGTGTCTTCAAAGAGGTCTGTTATCTTTGGGTTTTGATTGTTTCTGTTTCTGATAATTGTGTTGGTATTAATCTGGAGGTGTGCAAGTTTGGATCTGTGTGTTTACCTGAGGAGATCAATGTGTGGATGAGTTTGTGTGCCCCCAAATAGGTGTTTAGTTTGAGTTTGTATGCCTGTTTGTATCTTTGCTAGCTTGTATCTTGCCTTGAGTGTATTAGCATGTGTTTATGAGTTAGTGTTTGTATGTGTTCTTGTTAAGCCTCCTTCAAGATGTCTGTCTGTGTACATGTTGTGTTTATAATACCTACTCTCACTAAGATAAGTATCTCACTTACTGGACATCTACTGCTTGAGAGGTCTGGTCATCTCTATATCCCAAGTGATTTTGGAAGCAAGAAAGAGGTGGTTTTCTGACCCCCCCCCCCCTTTTTGGATGTCAACATCTGCCCAATGTGTACATACCAATACATACAAAAGTGCTTGTCTCTAGGCACAGGCATAGCTCTGAGACCTACTAGGGGTATAGTGTACAAAACATATGCTGCCAGGCCCAAGTCTTACAGTATTGAGAGTCAAAAGTGATGTGAGTTCAGGGCAATTAAGCTCTCTCTGTGCAATGTGTACTGTTTCATTACTCACATACTATTGCATTTAGCATTTGTATACACAGGCCTCCTATAAGAGGGTAAGAACAGTTTGTGGGCTACTGATGACATTTTGACAGTGTCTGTGTATATGTTCTCTCTCTCTCTCTCTCTCTCTCTCTCTCTCTCTCTCTCTTCCCTATCACTTGCCTTTAGGCTATCACCCAGACTAGCCTCTGACATTGTGTGTATATATATGTCACACTGTATGCTCAGGCTTTGTCCTGTGGGTGCTGCTCCAATGGAGGATAGCACAAGTGGGTGGATCTATGTGCCTAGCCTGGTCATTCAGCTGGGGTGACTGTATGTACACAGGCCTTCTTGGCACGGTCTCTCCCAGAGGCTCAGGCACTGAGTAGTGGGATGCATTTATGTCTTAGAAGATATGGCAGGGCAATAGACCACTGTCTCCCCTAAGGCATAACATGATATGCCATCCTCTTTTGCTTAGTAGGCTATTGTGCCAACCTGTTTATAAATACTCTGAGTGATGGCAAGAAACCCACTTCTCTCATTTCTGGGTCATTTATGAGACCCCAGATCTACTCAAACCTTTGATAAAGTCAGAGAGAAGAGAAAACTTAGACCCCAACCCAGGTTGATTTCCTGGCATAGCTTTGGGTCCAGAAAAGCCATAATAGAAGAAACTAAGGGCAGGAGCTAAAAGAACATCGCTATGCTGAGAGTCCAGAGGCAGAAACCTGGACCTCCACTCCCTTTCCATGCTTAACTCCCACACAAGCTTTCTTTCTCCAAGTGGTGGGATGCCCGAAGGTTTCTGTGCCTACCTGGGTTGTTTACTGTTGGAACTAGGTTGGACGCCTATGAGTCAAGAGAGGGGTCTGAGTGGCTGTCTTTCCGACAAGCTGTCTACAACGAAGAATGTAATTCATGGCGGTCGATGGGCTCTTTGATTAGTTCAATCGCCTGAATAATCGTTTAATCAATAAAGCATTTCACTCTTCTGTGCTGTTAGACTGGGTGGGGTTTGTATAGGGGAAATCCTAAGGGGGGTTTGGAGCTTCAAATCCTAAGAGCCACGCCCCTTAATGATGAGTTAGGGTAAAAGCCACCTGCTTGGGAAAGGGTAGCAGCTCAGGTGTACCCTTCTGCCTGTCTTCCAAGTTCTGAGGTCCAGCCTAGGGAAGAGGAGGGAGACTACTGAGAGGCTGTCCAGGCACTCAAAGGCCATCTAGATCTACTTTCTGCCCGAACTTTTAGGCCTTTCATGGGCCACCAAACTGTCTCTTCTTTCTTCCAGAGTCATATAGCAGTCCTTTTTAGAGGACTGCTTTCCTATCTGTAGTGTCTTTATAGTTTAAAGCCCAATATTAAGCAAGGTCAGCACGCATCAGGGAGTCAGGAAAAGAGGAGACCCTGAAGGCAGGAACTTACTTATCAATTAAGACTAGGTCTAAACAGGGGAGAATAGCACTTCCCATGCCTAGGACAGCATCTCACAAAGCTCTGGGTTCCAGGTACAAGAAGCTGAGGCCTTAGGAGAAAGTACTATGTACTCTAGAGAGAGACTGTCCTGGTGCTTCTGGTTTGCAAGGGCAGACTGGTAGGGATAACTAGCCCTAACACCAGCATGTGTGCACTTCGTGAAAGACTTGGTTTAATATTCTTCTCCCTAGTGATTCCTGCAATATACTCAGACCAAGTAGAGCAGATTCTTGATCCACTTTCAAGAATCAGACAGGCATCTCTATGCCCCATTTGCTGTGTAATCACAGACCATTTGCTTTTCCTCTTTGATACTTTTTTATAATTAAGGTTAAAAGGAACCCATAAGGTTAGAAGGGCAGAGCCCAGATGTATCAGATCCTTCCCAATCAAACAACCAGTCTGAATCCTGAAAGGCCTTGTTTTATTGGAAGAAAGAGCAGGTAAATGGGCTGGAATTGCAAGAATCAATCCCAGGCCAGAACTCCATAGAAGCACCAGCACTCGGAGGGTTTGGGTGTGTGACTCTCCTCAGACAAAGTCTCCAATTGCAGAGAGAGAGAGAGAGAGAGAGAGAGAGAGAGAGAGAGAGAGAGAGAGAGA